CGATTTACTGGCAGGGTGGATAGTAAGGTCTGTATCAAAATATGTAATAATTTCAGACTTACAGTGTCCAGCTAGCAGCTAATCGTGCAAAGTGAAAGTGGCTAGTGTGATAATATGCGAGCAACTGTGCTGATCCCTTCTACCGATTCTCCAGCACAAGACGTTGAGCTTTTTCTTTTTAAATGAAAATACTTCTATATCGAATAATAATATTTATAATACTGTTTTTTGTGAGAAATTGAATACGGGTGTGGTACACATAGAAGATGCTCTTTGGAGTAACAGCTGTACTATACGACACATGTCACGGTGTGATGGCGAATAAGTATGGCGTTATATTTGTGCCACAATCCCGAGCGCGTAATTGTAAGTTTTGAGCACAGAGAACTATATTTTAGCAAAGAAAAACATATTCCGTGCGCGCAGTTTACTCAGGTGCCCTCTCCACAAACTGGTTTTCTGCACGCAGGCAGCCGTTGCTGCGCTCGCTCCACCTCTTCACTCTGCGCTCGCTCGACGTTTCACTCACACGCTCGCTCGACTTGCAGCAGCGTTACATTTGTGCCACAAAACCAACCAATCAGAGAATTAAAGAAGGTCCATTGCGATTGGCTGTTGGTCTCCAATCACAACGCTTCCTAAAGAAGACGAAAAAAAGTGATATTAGAAGTCCGGCTAGCCACCATCAGACATGACGGAAGCAAATGATGAGAACAGCACGTGTTTTAATCCAGGCCGTTAGCATTTAGCACAAATGCTGCAAACTTCAACAACTCGCTGAGCTTCCGCGATGCTGTAGGTAGTTCTACTAGCGTTGTGATTGGAGACCAACAGCCAATCACAATGGACCTTCTTTAATTCTCTGATTGGTTGGTTTTGTGGCACAAATGTAACGCTGCTGCAAGTCGAGTGAGCGCGTGAGTGAAACGTCGAGCGAGCCCAGAGTGAAGAGGTGGAGCGAGTGCAGCAACGGCTGCCTGCGCGCAGAAAACCAGTTTGTGGAGAGATCACCTGAGTAAACTGCGCGCACGGAATATGTTTTTCTTTGCTAAAATATAGTTCTCTGTGCTCAAAACTTACAATTACGCGCTTAAGCCATACCCATGACGAGAAGACGAGGTGGCTCCAGCACGTTTTAGATGTTCCTGCGTTGCCGTCGTGCTCCTGCGAAACGCTGTTCTGCAGATGCTGTGTTTCCCTGTTTGGTTTGGTTCATTGATGAAATACTCCCAGACTTTTCGACTTTTCCACGTTCAACTTAAACGTTTTCTTTCCTTGATGCATGTAGACAATAGAAGCGATAGCGCCCCCAGCACTTCCTCTAGTGTATTGCAATACCGGCTAAAGAAAGACCAGTAGCCCTGAATCTTTTTATAATATACAACGCGCCGACTATAAAAATCTGCGTCGCCGATTTGTCGACAATCGTTGCACACACACCAGAGCGGGCAAGATGCCCGTCGTGGTCGAACACACGGATGACGGACCTGTGATTAAAATGATGGCTTGTGGACCTTTTGTCGATCTGTTGGACGAACCTGTGGTCTAAACTACAATAAGTAATTATAAAGAAAAAAAAGTGAATTATGAATTGTAATATGAATTCATTGATGAAGTCATAGAATCACACTGGCTTCATTTTGGTCATGTGGACTATACACACCAATGGTCACACTGATGGTAACCATAGAAACACAGGAAAAGGCTTCTATAAGCAGAGGAAGCTCCATTGTTTCCATCTGAGCCAAAGAGGAAAGACAGAAGAAACAAGAAAAGGCGGGAAAGAGAAACAATGCTGAACACAGGAAGTTTCTTCACCATCATCATCACCATCATCATCGTCGCCGTCAGTTAGAGGCAGACTGCAGGAAAAAAGTGGCCTGGGACTTACTGTTCGACCGGCCCGCTCAATGCATCGCACGTATCGACCAGTCAGTGGCTCACTTGGAAAAAT